TCTGAGCTTTCCTAATTGCACAAAAAAGCACAAAACAACAACAACCCCTCACTGAAACAAAACCTGACAAACCCCAAAACACTTCTCTTCGTGAAGTTAAAAACAAACTTTATACTTTGTAGTTTTCATAGCATAACTGGTTTTAGTTACTGGACATGAGAAGGAAATAAAACAGGTTTTGGAAATAAATTAGATCATTATTGACTTTTTTATGTTAACAGGAAACTAGAGAAGTATGAATAGGAGGGAAAAATTATCATGTAACTCCTAATAGGAAGTAAACAATTAGCATTATTTGTCTCTTCAGGCCATTTTTTGGCTGATTTTTAGTGATGACACATGTAAGGAATACAATTATTGGAAACAGGATAGCTTAAAAATTCGTCATATGGTTTAATATTGTTAATATATTTTTTATGGCTGTGGGAAAAAAATAAGCAGAATCATCTTTGGATGTGCATTAAAAAGTCTTGAAAGCACTATATTTTAATTTTCATGAAGTAACATAATCTGTGTATTATGTCATGGTCTGTCTGAATCTTTCAAATTTACAGCACAGTGTACTTTGTAAATTATACTTTATTTTATGAGTTTATGAGCTCACTTAAAAAAAAATAAACCATAAAAAAATTCTCTGCCTCAAACAGCATCACCAAAACGTAAAGACATCAAACAATGGTGAAATCATCTTTGTACAGACTAGTCCAACACATAAACTCACTAATTCATTATTTCCCTAATTCACAAGCTCTCTTATTTGCAAGTTCTCTAAATTGTATTTTTTCCATGAACAAACTAGTTACCAAGCTATCAATGCCAGTGCTCATTCTTTCTCCTTTGTCAAGGAGTGAATGTCCCCATACCACACTGGAAAGCACAAAACCCTCATCAGTCAGCCTGCTGTTGGATCTGCTACAAAAACATTGGGGGTAAGCTTAGGCATTTACACTTTCCAGCTCAGAAGTTTGGTCTGTAGCACTCCCATGATTTAGTGCAACCTGAAGAAACTGCCAGATAGTTGCTTTTTGAAGATCCAGAAGTTGTTGGCCACAGGTAATATCAACCTTTACCTCTTCCTATCCACTGACTTCTATGTACAGGCTGCTCTTCCAGCACTCACCGCTCACAATAGCACTGCTCTCAGCATATGTCAGACTTTGGGATCAGCTGTATGTTCATTATTTTTACTTTTCTTTCCTCTAAGAGTTTTCCAAGTCATTTTGGTTATCCTAGCCTCAGTGTCTTGTAATATCAAGAAATTTATTTGGTAGGATTTTAGTATCAATTGAATTCAGTTCATGTACCAGTTTCATCCAACAGATTTTGAATAATATCGCTAACCTCGATGTCCTTCAGGCCAATGACTTTGTAGCCACCATCACAGAGATGGTCACTGTAATCAGTACAGGTTTCATTCCTTGCAGGAGTGTATACATTGGTTATGTTCAATGTATGTTCATTGATATTAATTTTGCAGCCATAATCATAGGCTCTTGTACATAATGGAACTGCATTGTTCTTGTACATAATGGAAAGGCACTTTAAGTAAGAAGTAGGCTGGACTGTTTTTTAAGATACAATGCCATGAGCATGGTAGCTTTATTTTGTCCATTTACATTGATTTGCACAGTGATTATTAGTAGTATTTATTAAATAATTGCTGTGTATTGTGTACATATGCTGTAAGTATTCTGGGCCACTAGTACATGGTTACTTTTCTTCCATGCCTGCAGTAACCCCCGTTGTTGTTGCAACCACGTACAGCTTCATATCCAGTGTAACTACATGTCGATAATTTCAGGTTAACTTTGGACCTTAGTGGTTATGTAACATTATCACCCACTGTCAATATGTCCTTGTGGTGTTGCAGATGGTATTCCTTCTGTATCTAGTTTAAAGGTTGGTTTATAATGGATCTGCAATACCTGAGTTTTTCCAAAATGCAGGATCTGTTATAGATAAGTTCTGAGTATATGTTCCAATTATCAGTGTTGCCATGGTGATGCAGGAGGGTCACACTTTCTGCAAGAGAAGACACACAGGTCCTGGACATAATCCAAACCTCAGTCATTTTTGTTTCCTTTTTCATTGTAAAAGGAGAGGAACACAGGTAACCTCTGAGTTGTACGTTTAACTGCAACCTCATTATATGGACTTCAGAAGGTTTTATTTCTATTTTAACAGGATTTTGGGCAGCTACTGATATGAATTCCTTATCTGTGGCTCTTCTTCTGGGAGTTTGTCACTTGTGTAGCCAACTTACAAGTTTTCATAGACATGCTTCCCACGCAGTACTAATAGATCCATTCTTGTGTATTTGCTGGTTTAGTAGTTAATTCCATTGATCTACTCTCCCACTATTTTGAAGTTGATACAGTAGCTGAAAAATCCATTGTACAAGATTTGACCTAAACCAAGCTTGTCCTACTTCATTCTTAAAATGTTATGGATGCTAAGTTTATATTTCTCTGAATAAGGGAGAGGTACCAAACCACTGGCTTAAGGCAGTTGTGAGACCAGTGATAGCTTAGGCAGAGAATGTATTCTGAGCACCACTAATTCTCCTCCTGTAAGGATTTCTTTCCACGCTCCAGGTGTTTGTTGTAATACACATGAGAAGTTTCCCAGATTAGTTTACCTTCCATGAAGCTGGTAGAATGTTGGTGAGGTGGTGTGCAATTGTTAAAAAAAAATGACACAAATTTACAATTTGTTTCACCAGAACTTTTGCCAGTCCTCTTTTTTGACATCCTCTCTTATTGCCTGTTGAAATAAATCCTATGACCCTGTGTGTCTAAGCCACTCCTGTAACCAGATACTGCCTCAGAGTTTTGTGCTATATTTTCTCTAACCAAATTATCAAAATTCTGGTTGCGTGTTGCGAGGATGTTTAGAGTTCTGGAAACTAAATGCAATTTTTTATGGCTATATTTTTAGACTGAGCTATATCATTCAGTGTGATGTTTTTCACCATACATTTCAATCATTTACTTGGCAATATTTTTTCATCTAGCCACTGGGTGGGACCCCTAAGTATTATTAATTAAAGCCAACTTTACAACAGGAACAGACACACAAAATTTGATCTCCTTTTCTTGAGTTGATAGTTTGGCAGTTAGCAGCCCTTAGTAAAGAGCCAAATTTTCAGGGGGTGAGTTAAATCACTTCCTTTATTCTTCCCATAAAGACCACATCACCCCAGCTCATTTTCTTAAAGCCTTCTCTCTTTGTCAGGGTCTGTTGATGGGTGAACTGCAGCAATGCCATGGAAAGTTCTGGCTTTCCAGTAGCACTTACAAAAGAACATGTTCAGTTCTATGATTCATTTTGTCCTATTCAATTTATAGATTGGACAAAAGAAAATTAACTGGTTTAATCTAGATATCTAGAGACATTTTCTCTAAAGACAGAATACTTTAAAAAATTTGGCTGAGGTCTTAATAATTAAGAGGCATGTAACTAAAGATGAAGTCATGCAGTTAGAAGAAGGTTGTTGAAATTGTATCCTCAAGCACTGCCCTAGCTACTGAGTTGACTGAAAAAGCTGAGTTCAGTGAGCAGGTATTAACATGAAGAAAGTGCAATAATTCTTTTCTCTCCTGGTGATCTTTTTTTTGATGGTGCCACCAAGGGTGAATATACTGCTGTTTACCTAAAACAATAGGTGGCAAAAATAAATCAAGAGCTCTTCTCTTTCTTTCCTGGTGTTCAGGATCATTGGGTAAATAGGAAAGGCTGCAGTGTAATTAAATATCTTTCAGACCTATGTTCTTTGTCATGTTCACCAAATGTCTTTTTTTCCTCTGAGAACTATCATCACTCTGTTCTCACTCTGTCATCACACCTCACTCACATGACACAATGAATGTTGCTTCATATATTTTGTTCATGCTTATTTTAAAGTATTCCATTAAGAAAAACAGCTTTAAAGGGATGTTGTGTTCCTTCTTATCACTCAGCTGTTAAAAGTGGAATGATCAGAAGGCTTCACTGATCAGAAAAACCCCATTTTCACCAATTCTCTCTGTTCATTTTATCTTTCCATCCAATTATCTTTTATCTAGTAATTATGCACACTGAGCTCCATACACTGTGCTGGCTAGTCTGTTGTTGCAAACTCAAGTAGTTACTACAAAACTAGCTCCACACAGTATTGTTTTGTCAATTTTAGACTTGTGATATTTCTATGCTAAGAGGTCTGAGTCTAGCATTGACCTTTCTTCTTTGAATTATCTTTAAGATACAAGTTAAAAACTATTCTTGTTCCCCCTGGAACATATATAGATATTTTATAGATGAGATTTTTCTCAGATCAGTGTTCATATATGATGTTTTCTATGAGATGGTCATATACCAGAGAAAATAATTTTTTTTAAAATACCATTATAACTATAGAGATTATTAAAGATTCAGTATTAACAGATTCAATACTACAACAGTCTTCAGCTGAACTGTTGGATTTGTTTTTATTATAATTCCATCAGCACAGTATTTTTGAGAACATGAAAGAGTAAATTGATATGAATTATAAATAAGTCCATCCTCTGGAACTGTAAGTTTTTTGACAGTTTCAGAACTTTTACAATGATAAACATATTTTTCTAATTTTTAAATCTTTGCTTCCTTTCAAACGAATATTTTAGTCCACTTCTTTAAAAATAGATACAAGCACAAATATTCATATTTCATACTTTTAATAAAATTCCTGTTACCTAATTCACTTATCCAGCAATATTTCTATTGTTTTTTGATTTTGTCCTGAGTCAGCCATCCACTGAAATGGGTTGTGTTGAGATCTGTCTCTTTTAATGAAAAAATGTTATTCTACCTCTTGCAATCTTGAAGGGGGTATCTAAAAAACCTGTTTTGATTAGATTTTCTGAAAAGGAGATAAGGAAGTCAATACAAATTGAAACACCTTTTCTTTACCACCTTGGAATGAGACAGCACTTCTGTTTTCTGGAGGAGGAATGGCTACTTTTAATTCTTATTTTTTTTAGTTTTAGGTACAGAGTTGGGATCATCTATCCATGCTGAAAAGTGCAGGCAAAGTTCAGCCTACCATAAAATGATTACAAGCCTAAGAGACCATCAGCTTACTGTACAAGCCTACTTCAATTGTAACAGCTGTAAGTTTGATCTGACTGGCAGCGTCCCAGCCTCAAGAACACTTCTGCCATCACAATGGAGGGGAGCAAGAATTCATGACCAATCTTTCCTTTTTAGTAACCTGTGATCTGTAATCTTAACATTTCTCCACCTTTGGAACCATTACTGAATGTCAAAAGACAAAATGTCCTCAAACCTGTAATGAAACATCAGCAATGGGCTATTCTGATTCATAAATAGCTCTCAGGTCTTTCAAATTTTCAGTCAAAGAAAAATATTACCATTCTTATTTCTCCATCTTTTAAAATTTGAAAACTGTGCATTCCCAAGTACTCCCTTCTTTTAATGAATATGCAAAGAAGCTAGCAAAATCCACTGAAAAAAACTACTGATTATGAAAGGTGTAATAAATACTTCTGTAGACATATACTAGTTTGGGGTAGGTACTAGTAAAAAGTGTAGAAAAGTAAGCAAATTTATTGCACTTTTTTAAAATCCAAAAGTTTTGACTATTTCATTATGTATTTATTACATGATGTAATACATTTTATATATATTATTATGTATCTAAATTTTGCTGTGGTTTTGTTTGAGTATATTTTAAAATTAAAGCTTTAGGAAACAAAGGAATTACTACAACCCAGAAATTAAATTAACAACTGACTGCAAGGGTTTAATATTTAGTTACTTTGGCTCTACTGGGCCTCATACAAATTTGTGGGTGGCAATATCATTGTATTTTGCATAAGGCTTATTCAAATTAAATTGCTGGAAGTAGGTCAAGAAACAAAAAAGGCTCAACCTTGATGAAGCTTTGGCAGCAGCTCTGCTACATCTGTGTAGTGTTGTTGTGGGGCTCGATGGTACTACACCAGACAGTGATAATGAAGGGAACTGGGAGTCCTTCATTGTCCTTTTCCTCCTCTCATATCCGTACTCCACTGCAACAGCTCTCCATAAGCTTCTAACAAATGGCAAATAAATGGCCTGAAAATCGTGGAAAAGTTGAAAACAGCTGGAAAACTGGAACAAAACATGCAAATGCTTCTATTCAGTTGAAATGACACATAACTGCCAAAACTATCTACTCTTCAGTGTTTTGTTAGCCGCAGTGGCCTTCTGCATTTCAAATGCAGGTGTTAGCACTAATTTCTGTAACATATAAACATTTTTTTTTACAAACGGATATCGCAATACAAAAGCAATTTATTTTTTACTTCGAACAACTTAGTCTTCTCTTGAAGTAGCAAAATTTTTAAGTTTGTTTATTTTTCTGAATTTTATTTGTTTGGTTGCTCTGGTTTACATAACCAAGATGAAAAAAACAAGGAGATAGAAGTGGCTCGTCTCTACAGACTGTCCACATCAGCATTTTCTCAGCACTGGGGTAGGGAAGCAATTTCTGAGAAACTGTTTTTCTTCTGGGCCAAATAACTAATAAATAATCAAAAGATAAATAATGAAAAAGAATGCAACAAGATTTACTAGCTGAGTCATACTAATACTAGGTAGGCTGTACAGTACAGTAATAAGGATAGTGCTACACTTTCAAGAATAATATAAGAATATACTGCCTGGAAATCTTCTGGAATGCAGACAGCAAAATAAAGGCTCCTATAAAAAATACTTTATTTTTCTCTTGGAAAAAAGGAAATCCAAAGGTCACAAGGATTTTGATAATATTTTTTTCCCTTGGGTATGCAAATTATAAGGCAAGTTTTGCCTAGTATGAAATTCCACAGTTTGGGAAAAAAGACAAGTAATTTTTGATTGTAGTTCTGGTCAAATAACTTCTTCTTACTAGATATTTAAAACATATATTGATTCAATTCAATATTTTCTTGAAGGAAGAAAGCTTTTGTCTGTTTTCTTTAGACTCAAACATTTTTGAGAGCACTATGATTATTTAATGACTCTTCCTTTGCAAGCAAATCCTAGCCAAGTAATAGGTTTATTTGTTTATGCTGTACTCAAAAAGTATTAAATAAAAGATATCTGAAGAGCTATTTCTTGTTGATAAAGCACATTTTTAAAACATGAGCAGCATCATTAACTCACTGTTACAGCAGTAAAAAACCCAGCTATTGAAGGTTATTCATATGATATAATTAATTAAAAGCTAAATTATTGTCTGTCTTTGTCTTTTTTAGGAGTGAAATTAGATGATGAATCAAAATATGAATTTAGACTCCATTCAGAAGCAAATGGAAGAGATAGAGGTTTTTGGGAACCAACCAACACAGCCTGATAAACTAGATAGATGTTGGCAACCAGGTGACCATCTATTTCATTCAAATCTCCCACCTCAAAGTTTCTACCCAAATTCACCTCATTATGCACATATGCATACATGTTTCAGCAGTGATTGGGAAATTTTTGAAGCAGTAACAATTCAGGAACTGGAGGAAGTCAAAGCCAGAGCTGCCCAAATGGAGAAGACCATGCGCTGGTGGTCCGATTGCACGGCTAATTGGAGGGAGAAATGGAGCAAAGTTAGAGGAGAAAGAAATAAAGCACGAGAGGAAGCAAGACAATTGAGAATTAAACTAGACAGTGTTATAAAAGAGCTAAGTGTGCTTAAAAAAATAAATCAGGATTTAATAAGTGAGAAGGAAAACTTAGAAAATGGAACTGCTTGGAAAATGGAATGCTGTTGCTCAGAAATGTCCTGTATTAAAAAAGACCAAAGCCTGTTAATGTTTCTGGAACCAGAACCTCCGAAAGACCTAACCAAAATCACCACAATTCCTGAGGCAGAAGACACAAAGAAGGTAAAGAATGGGAAATATTTTTTGTGGTTCATGAAGAAGTGATAAATTATGGATGTGTTTGAAGAAATGGGATTTTTCAAGAATTTTGACCAAAATGCTGCCTGATCCATTCACTAGCAAAATCCTTTGGCCCCCAGACCCACCCATCTAAATATTTCTAATACAGAAAAATACACAAAACAACACATACCCTTCCACTATGACTAGACACTTAAGGAACAGAGACAGACTGTTATATTCAATAATTTACTATATTGTTTTGATTCTCTGTCATGTTTTACAGTAACAGGTTACCTCTCTTATCTGAATTAATCATGTTTTGTATACTTACAAATACTTATACTTTTTCCCCTCCAAAAAGCGTATTAGGTTCTTGGCGTCTAAAGAACCTAAAGTCTAAAATCATTTAATTCTCCCTGAACTTCAAAAGTATGGGAAGAGGTAGGCAATTCTTTTGCAAATTTACAATACTTTTTATTTGATAAGGAGAGCCGTTAAATCATTATATAGAATTAAAAAAATCAAGTACCAGCATTGTATAAACAGCTCCTACACAAAAGATCCAGTTACATTCATCAAAAATTGAAGTATTTGTTCGTGTTTAACTACCTTTAATTCTGTGCCTTGGAATGCAATGTATAGTCTTCATAGACATCACCATGTGAAAACTTTACTTGTTTTCTGATAGATGGCAGTCATTGTAGATATAGGTAATTTTTTTCACACATTGCAAGAAAATATTTTTCCCTGCACAGTTGAAAGTAGGAAAGTTTTTACTTCAATTCAAGGGAAATTGCCAAGATCTTAGATCTGTATGTATTCTAGTTGGAAATTTTACTCTCTAATGCATATTAAGGATATTATATTCCTGTGAAATATGAAAAAAAAAAACAAAAAAAAAAACCAAAAAAAAAGAGCAATATTAGTAGAAAGAATAAATTTTGCCAAAAAAGCACGCTTCTCACCGTTTCAGGCAGACAAATGTGCCATTGGAAGGAAATACCACAAAATATACTTTAACTATTTTTCCCTAGTATAAAATATTTTCTACTTAAAAACTGAAACTTTATATGTGAATGGGAAACATTTTTATCTTTTCAGTGGTTTCTAGTATTTTCTGATGTAAATTTTGGGCATTCTTCTAAAAAACTCAAAAGACCAGAGTGATGTGAAAGAAGATTGTCAGTAAACCGCTAAAATGAGATTAGCTTTTAAACCAAATTCCTCACATATGGTAAAGCAAATACATTTCTAAGGGAAACTTGTTTATAAGGGACATTCAGTCTTCCTCAAAAATGTGTATTTTACTTTTATTTTTTTCCCAATATTCATATTAGTTTTTCTTATGTTTTGTACGCAAAACATGTGTCTTCAAAATAAATACCTATATGCTTTGTTCCTTATGAGAAACTTGTATAAGCCTATTTCAACACACTTTACATAAAATGTTTAAATTCATAATGTAGAGTTCCTCAATACATTATTTGTATGGATAAATTGCATTTCTGGTTTTATTAGTTCCAAGATTCTGTCTTTACCAGAGTTATAGCCAACAAAAGAGAAATTTAATATGTTTCCTTAGTAAAGACATTTTCAAAATATTTTGGATATGAAGCTTGTCATAACAGAAGCGTGAGATATCACAAAATTACAGTTATTCAAATATACTGACATTTTTGCACCTTCTACCCATATACAGTCCAACTGTCTAAGATATTACCTATTTCCTTTTTTTCTTCAGTGTTCCTTAAATGTCTAGAAGAGCCTTGGTAGGCCCTATGGAGCTATGTTAGACTTTTTCCTTCACTTATGTTCTTCTCAGGTGTCATATTTTTATTTCCTCAGGATGTAAACAAAGACCAAAGCAATGACAATAAAAAAGTCACCACAAAGCCTCCCAATTTCCTCCCCAATGGACTTCCCAGCATCTCTTTGGAGGACCCTAAAATAAGTTTGGGCACTACAGCTAAGACAACAGAGAATGATTTAATACATGCATCAGTCTTAAATTTGCACTTGGCTGAGATGAGGAAAATCTTACAGAAGGAAAGAGAGTAAGTGCCAAATATATCCTACTTTTGGAATTCTCCTAGAGGGGATGAAGACAGTTTCTAAAATATATATGGTGATGGTTGCATTTATAGCTTATATGTTCTAAACTTTATTTATTGCTATTTGCAAGATTTTAATAAGAATTTAGAGAAACAATTCAGCATTGTATATTTATTGTTTTCTTTGGCTTGTCTGTCCTTTAAATGAGGCATTCCACACAAATATGTAATTTGCTATCACTGCAGTGATATCTAATGTGTGTCATACCCAGTTATTGGAGTGTTTTGTGCATAATGACAAACTTTCATATACTCTACCAGCAGGCTTTGAAAGAGTCCAACTGCACAATGACAAGGCTGTTATTGAATTCAAAATATATGAAACGGCTGCAAAATGCTGCTAACCTCTTCACTTGTAGCAAAGTCTGTGTTAAAAGCCAGTTAACAAAGACATTTATTGTGCACAATAAATAATATTGATGTTGCATATAAAATTTGCCTGACATAAATATTAAATGTACATTTTGGTGGCCGAAAAGAAGTCTTATGTTGTATAAATAGTCAATATTGAGAAAGATTGAATGTCACCAGAAAGGCTTTTCAAGGAAACATGCAGCATGTGATGTATGAGGATGTAGTAGCAGACTTCAGGCTGTAATTACAGGTGATGGTAATTTCAAAACCAGTTAACTCAATTAGAAAAGTAAAAGGAAGAAAATTCCCTGTCTATTGCAAATATATTCAATACTTTCAGTTCAGAAAGTCTTCAATGGTAAACTGTGCTGAAGAATTTCCTGCCTGGCAGTTTATTTCACAACTGTTGCGTAGATAGTATAAGTCTGAGGTAAAAAAATCCTTTCAATTCCTAACTAATATTTAAAGTGTTTTGTTATATGAATTAGATAGTTGTAGAAATCATACAATAATTCTCTAGATGAATCATATACCAGAAGATGGCCATGCTCTCTCTCCTTAAAATGTATTTTACTTGTCTGTGAAAGAAAATATATGTGTGAATTAGGATACTGATGCCTCACTTTCCTGGGGTTGAAATATTTAGGGGCCTAGGTACTTCATCAGCAATCAAGTATGCATGCATATATAATAACTTTCTTTTAGAAAATGGATGATTTTTCAACTCACTTTTAGTCACTTCTCAGGCAAAACTTTAATAGGTTTTGGTTTGTCTGTTTGTTCACATGCCTCTCCAACCAATTTTAAGCTGTACTTCACAGAGACAGATTTTTTTCATTTATTCTTTTTTTTAATGTATTTATTTCTTAATTTTTTCATTCATGAATAATTTCATATTCATTTATTTTATACTATGGTATAAGGAAATAAATTTACTGGCACACAGTAAGAATTGGGGCACCTCTATAACATGCAGCATGTGGCAATGACAACCTCAGGCAGCAGAAATGCTCACCTAGGTGTTATTTCCCCATAACAGTGGGAATTGGTATAACAACTCCCTCTCCAGGAGGGCACCATTTTCTGCATGCAGAGATGTTATGTAAGCAGAATATATGCAACTTCTAAGTATGAAGCAACTATATTTTGCAATACAGACAGTAAATAGCTAGGAATAATATTACTAAGATAAGCATTATCATAGTCACCAGTCTCTTGAGATGGCTGACGAATCTTTGTTGAGCAGGCTGTCACCTGCTATCTCAGAAAGGGTTGGTCCCCACCACTTAGTAGAATTGGCTGATTTTGCTATATTTCTAACTTCATATTTCCATTTTTCTCTCTTAGCTTTTATTCTTGCCAGTGTCAGTATTTCTACTCCTGTGTTCTGGAGCTGCTAACAATGACTATCTCAACAATCTCACCCCGTTTGCATTTTTACTCCCCTTATCTTGTGTGGCTCTAGCTTAAGTACTTTCTCACAGCTTCTTTCTCACAACTTAGCAATTTTCTCAGTGAACTCGAGCCAAGAACACACAGCTGTGTTGCATCAAAAGCAAACAGATAATAGACAGCTTGAACCCCAAGGCCAAAGGTTACTTTAGCAGTCAGTATGATCTTACTCATACAGCAGAGGACTTCTCAGCAGTTTCCTGGCTTACAGAGCACCCTGAACTCTGACTGCATTTTTCTGGAGTCAAGTTAGCTTATGCAAATCCAGTGTTTGAATTTCCCCCTAACTAAGTTACCTAACTAGTAACTATCTTGATTTCCTAACTCTCTCCAGAAGATATTTTGCTTTTTCACCCTGAGAAGATTTCTGGTTTTTGCATTCTGATTAGAGCTATCATCAGTAATGTTGACACAGCCTTATGCATACAAATCAGGCTTTGCAAAGGACAAAAAGAAAGAAGGTATAAAAATAATAAAAGTAAAGAGATGAAAATTTATGTTTTGACATTCAAAAAATATCAGGCTTGGTTTTGCAATGTAAAATTACACACCAACATCCTCTACTAGGTAGTAGTGGCTTATGTCAATTACACATTTGAGGTCCATTAAAATGAATGGAGATGACAAACCTTATGAGTGGTTCAGCATTTTGCATAATCATTTGCTAAAAATAGCTATCTTTTGTCATCTTTTGGATCAGTGTTCTCATGTAATTTTCTTCTAGTTTTAAGATAGTAATTTTTTCTGTTTTGAGTTTAAAAGTGTTTATTTCCCCTAAAATCAAAAGCCCACAAACTAGTCCACTGCTAGTTGATAACATCAAAGAACTGCTTGAGCCTGGCTGGGTAACCCAGACAATGGATACAAAAGGTTCTGCCTGAGCAACAAGAAATCCCTTTTTTTCTGCAAGGATCACTGAACACTGGCACTGGTTTCCCAGGAAAGTTGCTGAGTCTGCATCCTTGGAGACATTCAAAAAGACATCTGGGCAAGGTCTTGAGCAATCAGTTCTAGGCAACCCTGCTTGAGCATGAGGTTTGCACTAGATGACCTTCTCGGGATCCCTTTCAACTTCAACCATTCTGTGTAATTCTGTGATTTAATTAGAAAATGAGTTAAAAGATCTTGTTACAAAATCCATGAAAAATGCTCTGAACTTGATCCTTTTATCTAATAATAAGCTGCTTCTGATGTCTGCTATATTCTTCCTTCCACTCTTTGTTTTCTTTATTTAAATAGTAAACTTTATGTAATCAGAATAATTTCTTTCAATTAGTGGTATCAGAGGGAGCTGATCTCACTTAAGTACTGTAACACAAAACAAAACTAGTGTCTTCTAAACAAGCAAAACACACTGTACATTCCTCTTACTTTTCAGAATAGACCATTTCTGAAGACTTTCACTGCATTCAGTACGGTCAATAGGCAATTATTCAAACTATTACAACGTCATCTTTCATGCTTTCACTTTCTACTGTATTAAGTGTCCCACTAAGAATTCTCTTAGTTCCCCAATGAAGTCATGATATTATTCCAATGAAATATCCCATTACTTTGAAAGCAAAGCTGTAGAGTTGAAATGCATGAAATACATATTGCTCCATTTTGCTTTGTGAATAATGGTGTTTATTTTATTACTGTAATGTTATGGGATTTCTAGGTCTTTGCTAAGATAAGCTGTGCTATATACTAAATCTAGGCAGAAAAAGGAGATCCCTGATTCAAGAGCATTAAGTTTAGGTATAAAAGAAGAGAGAAGGATATTTCACTATAGTGGATTGCTTCATTAAAGTAGCCAACATTTCTTCCAGGACCTGAGTCAGTCCAGTCAGTGACAACTCTTGTTATCTCTGTGCAAGCCTGCAGTCTGCTGCATAGAAATGCCCCAGACAAATTCCATCAATACACTTTACTTTAATAGGTGAATATTTAAACCAAATAGTCTCAAAATATAGTTCTAGTCAGCCCGGCAATAACATCTTTGTTAAAAAGTTAGAAAAGTTCTGTTGGCCTCCATTAGAATAGAAAATAACTACTGTGGCACACAATAGTTTCTTTAATTTCCAGTATTAGAATTTTCTTTTCAACTATTTTGTATTTTTCTCATTGTACAGGCATCTTACTTCTGCACTAAATACATTTTCCTAAAATTATTCTAGCATTTGCTTCCAGGAGCAATTATTTTTTGAAACATGAAATATATATATAATAATGTTTTTTAACATTTAACATCGACCGTCTTTGGTTTCTGGTCTTGACATTGTATATAATGCTTCATCTTCTGTTTTTACTAAATACAATTTCTTTGAGGGTTTTAACTAATTTTGAAGAAACTTGAGATAAATAAGGTGGCCTGAACCACTAAATGAAATAAAATTTTCTTCAGTTTATCCCAAAATTTTATTTTGTTTAAAATTTCAATTCTTTACTATTGGATTTCTGTTTTCTCTTTAAATATTATTTTTGTTGAAACTTTTGAACTAATTATGCAATGATAATAAAGGTTTTTAGAAAAGCCAAGATATAACATTATGAAAGGCAATATAACTGAAGCTATGAGAAGGAAATTCAAAGTAATTCTTGTTCTGTCAGCTTCAAAATTGTGCAATGCTAAATTTTAAAATTTTTTTTTAGAATGAATGTATTCCTGGAGAAAGAAATGGAAAAGATGGAAAACGAATTATTTCTTTGGAAATGGAAATACGAAGAACTGAGACAAACCAAGCTGGAAAGCCTGAAAAAGGTATGTTAGTTATGTTAGAACATTCTTATCACATGGAGTAAGAAAGAGAATTTAGACTTCTGATTTCCTGTGTTGTAACTAAGAATTAATTGTGTTAATTGTGGGTTTATGAAAGTGATAAATCCACCATTTATCAATTACTATTCTGTGTAGACAGATGGGAGGGACCTGGTGAGGGTGTGTGGATGCTGCCATGGCAGCACTGGTGCTTGAGAGCTGTGAGAGTGGCACTGGGATGGCTCCACAGGCTTCTAGGAAGGGACCAGCCAGAGGCAGCAGGTTCTGGTGCCCCATCTCCACGTGTGGTGGGGCTGGTGGTCCCAATGTACAGCAATGTGTGATCAGGGTCCAGTGGGGCTTGGGTTCAGAGAGAAAGGGCCCATGTTGGGTGTGGGGATGTTCAGGAAAGCCCTGCCTGGAGAAATAGAGCAGTAGAGGTGTAGAAATTGCCTGAAAAAATATGTTGTCCCCATCAGCCTGGACAAGGAAGTAAGGCTGGGCAGGATCAGAGAAGGCAAAGAGGAGATTAACAGGATCTTCACAGGCACCCAGAGATAAAAAAGTCTGAACCACCTGGGAGAGGCAGCCAGAGGCTGTGAGTTTCACAGTGAATAGAGTCCCACAGTAGGAGGGCTGGAAAGGTATGTTCTCCAGCAACTGGAGGATGGCTCTTTTTCCAGATCTGCAGTTCAAAAGGTTCAAACACCCGATAGTAAAGTAAGAGAAGAAAGTGATAACTTCTGAGGCATCAGAGCCAGCTTTAACACACACCATGCATTAACATCAGGAGGAAGCAGCAAGTGGCAGTAGCAGGAGGCTTGCTCCTCTGAGGATAGAAAAACCCTGTGTTTCCCACCTGCTTTTTTGTGGGTAATGTGGCTTGCTGTGGGCTAGGATTCAGAAAATTGCAGAGAGATTGCCAAGGTCTGTCCAGTCCTGAGACTGCTATGCTACTACTCATCCTGATGGGCACCAGCCAGGGGTATATTGGGAATGGTCATGTAGCTCTGGGGTTGAGGTCATGGGGACCCAAACTGGGAAAGAAGAGATTACAGACCACATGAAATGAAGGAGAGGTGGTCGGCTGGAAAACTCAGGACACAGGTTAATAGGAGAACAAAAGATTTCAGGAATGATAAAACAATGTGGAGGGACACCCGTCTCAAATGTTGGTAAAGAAGTGCACACATCCCAGGAAACAAGCAGGGAGAATTAGAGCTGTATGTGGTTACAGAACTACAATATTGTTGGAACAATTCAAATATGTGCCAAGTCCATGCAACTGGAGTACTGTGAAGGACTTCTAGAAACATTGACAAGGAAGGGCTGAGGGGATGGAAGTTGCCCTCGGATCTAAAAGCAGCTCAGCTCTTTTGAGGTCTCCAGAAGGATGGGGGATAATCAGACTTGTGAATCCAGGATCAGAGGATAGGCCAGTGAGGGTGTCATTGTGGTAGGAGTTTGTTACATACCACCTAATGAGGAAACAAAAAAAAGGTTTAAAGAACACAGATCTTGGAGTTGTAAATCCCAGTTCTCATGGGTGACTACAGCTGCTAGAAAGTTAGAATAGCTGCTGCAATCACAGAGATTTCAGTGGGGTTTCAGGAGTAAATTCTTGCTGAAGGCCAACAAGTGGTGATGAATAGCTGGATCTGTTGTTGATTAATATGAAGGAAACTAGCTGGGTATGTGATGATGAATAATTTCTTCATCTGTGGTAGCTTTGAAATAGCAGTGTTCGTCATCCTGAAAGAAGAAAGGAGAGCAGCAGAGCACAGACCCTCAACCTAGGGAGAGCAGGATACTGGCTTAGCTAGGGAACTGCTGGGAAAGGTCCCATGGGAGGCAACTCTGATAGGTAAACAAAGGAGTCAACCAAAGCTGTCAGGCCTTGTAGTACAGCAAAGGTTTGTCCTAATACTCGGGAAAAGAGGTAGATGTGCCAGGAGACTGATTTAGCTCAGCAGGGCACTCATGGTGGAGGTCTGATGCCAGAAAGCAATGTACCTTTACAAAGATCAGCCTTGAAGGAGTAATTTAAGAAAATTTCCTGGTTGTGTCGAATTGGTGTTAGGAAATACATGTTCGTTTCATTCTGTGTTCATGACCAGAAGAGTAAGAAATATTAATATTGCAGTTTATGGGTTTTAGCTTTCAGGACAATGGATAGAGGACCTCTTTGATTCCACAAAACTCAAAATGTGTGTCTATATGACTAAACATAGATAGTGAATCAAAAATGTCCTATGAATTTAACATCTCAAATTTGGAATAATGGATTGAATTAAATTAGTTTAATTTCATGTTCTGGAAAGAATTGCAAGCAGTCTATTAAATCTCAAGTTTTAGTTAATAGGTAATGCATATGCAACGCAGCAGCAAACTAATATCTATCTTTCATATTTGAGTTCCTTCAGATTTTAGTTCTTTATTTTCTGCTTGCTCATTGTGTAGGATTTTTAGCTTGTTATACTTGTGCAAAACAGAGGAAGTCTAGGTTTAGTTAATAGTTTTGCTTAAGAAATGTAATCTTCGTGAAATGCTTTATGGCACTGTCATCAGGAATAGAACAACAGGAAGTAAAAATTTTCTGAGCATTCATTGCAGATAGATAACAATATTTATGCATTTGCATGTCTACATATATGTCTTTCTGCTTTTTTCTTGGGAACATGCTCGAATGCTTTAATTGCTAACAGAAGGTAATATTTTGAGCATTCTTTTCAGCTTCTGACATTTATGACATAAATCTCATTTTTAAATTGCAGAAAAACACTGATCTGGATGAATCCGACTAATTTGAATGAAATTATTTATATCAGCGGTGGGGGTTTCTGTAAGTGGAAACTCTACTGAGAAAAACCAAACCTTGTGTTTGACAACACTGATGTGAATATTACTCACTATATATTGCTGTTGAGAAATGGATGCTGGAACAACGGACAAGATTTTTGACAGTGAAAAATTTGAAAGTGAAATAAAGGAAAGTGCAGACATCTACTAGGCTAAGCATGGAATCTGATTCTAATATAAATTTCCAATATTAAATCACAAAGGCATTTCTAGATTAAAAGCAGATCAATCATTACATCTGGATTATTTTCATGTCCTTGACTAAATTAATCTGCTATTTCCTTTGGTAGATTGCCTAAGAAACCCACTGTGAATGTGAAAAAAGAAGTGCTTTGTTTCCAAGTGACAGTGCCACTGCAAATGATGCCATTTTTAGGAATGGATAGCTCTTCTAGCCTTTTGGAAGCTGGGGAGATTTTGGGGAATGTTAGAAACTTCACAGGTGCCAAGACTTGATTATTAGTGCTCCCAGTAACTAATCACTTTCTTTAGTTACTTTCATTAAAAGATAAGTATTTACTAAGCTTGGAATAAACTAAATATGGAAAGCCTTGGTGAGCTTGTTGATCATGGTTTTAACATATTATCCATTTAGCATCACTTTGGAAGTTGTAAATAAGTTTTCAAAGTATTGAGTTAATTAAAAAAGTAGTAAAGAGACAATTTATGATCATAGTAACCATGAGCATTATAGGCAGCTTTGTGTGACACTAGCATTGATCTTGACTTGTTTGGGGTCATAAATTAGACCATTTTAACAGGTGCAACAGAAAGTTGCATTTGGTATTGTAACTGATAATTTCTTTTTTTGTTCTAACAATCCTCTTTGCCCATTAAAAGACACAAAACACTTTGTTATTTTAAAAACAGGAGAGAAATTACTCAGTATAAAATTACACTACTTTGCATGAGTATCTAGAGAAAGGCAAAAAATTGTTTGTAAGGCTGATGCGTAAATAAAGAGTATTGATGTTAGATATACTTGGGTTTAAAGTAAACTTTGTTGAAAAGAGTAGGAATCGTTAAGTTCTCTGAAGAACATGAAAATTTTTACATCCATAATTTTGCTTGTTGAATGTCCTCAGGAATGGAGTATCCAATTTTTTCAGATAAATTTTAGTTTACAGCTCAATTAACCATCAATCTGAGAAACAGAAAAACTATGTCTGAGTTTGATTAATTAGGTCTTTGGACTCTGGAAAACAAAGCAAATCCTTGGTGTGTTGCTGTGAAGTTTGTAAACACAGAATTGGAGTCAGCAAGCCTGTTGAAGTTTTAGGTTTTAGAATGATCATTTAATCTCATGTGCAATCAAACATTCTTGTTTATACTCATTGCAAATCTTCCTCAAAATTTTATATCTGTCTTTATAAATCCTGAAGGATGTCTTTTTCTGGTCATTTAAGAGTTAAATAAAATGGAATATTTACAAAACTATCCTGAAAAGAGTGGAACAATGCATGTACTACTATAGTCCACTGGTGTGCACTGTAGACTTACAAATGCCACTATAGGCAGTGCAAGTCTGTGTTGTTTAAAAGAATTTTCAGTTAGCTGAAGTACAGAATGTACTCTTCCTCTACATTATTTAGTGCTTTGGTAGTTAATGAGGGAAATTCCTATCCCAGTGTGTGGGATATGAGTCAAAAATTACACTAATTGGTACATCTTTTAGGAACATCAGTGATTAAAATGTATACCTAGATGAAAAGGAAAACAAGCTAAATCAGCATTTTGTATATTTGGCAGAGACATTTCTGTTCTTCCTCTTTTATTTTTTTACAACTGAAAGTACGTCACCAGCTATTGATTTTGCGGTAAAGCCAAAAAAATCCATCTTTAAACATTTTTTGAAACAATGTTTTCTGTTCTCTCTCTCAGTATATAGATGTTTTACACTATATTAGAACAATCTAGGTATTGTTACTTAGGAGCATTTCTTTCTTTAAGAGATTGTGAATGGTTCCTACCTGTTGTTCCCAGATGAAGGAAGCTCCACTGATGTGAGTGAAGCTTCTGGATAAATCAACTCTTCTCCTATCATTGTAAACATTTAAATGCTCTTTAAAGCAGAGCAGCCTATTCGGAGGCCCAAGTTGTCAACAGGTAGATCTTGTTAAAGTCTCTGGATGATTTCTACCTTC